GGTTGTTTCCAGCTTCTGGCAACCCTAACCTATCCAGGGTTTTCTTGGCAAGATTTCTTCAGAGGCGGTTTGCCTTTGCCATTCTCTGTGAGAGTGAGTTTCCATGCCCGAGACTGGGATTTGAACCCTGGTTTCCAGAGATGCAGTCCAACACTCAAACCACTATGCCACCCTGGCTCTCTGGAACAATTACTACTAAGGAAGATCAAAGATGAAAATACAAAGGCAGGTTGATGCTGAATATATAGAAAACAAAAATAATTATCACAGTGGAGCTATACAAATTCAACCTAGACAATGAGGGAATTGAAATAAAGAATTCCCCTATCTTGGATCAAGCATTGAACAGAATGGAGACTGCAGTTGGAAATCAAAAGAAGACTAGGAATGAGAAGGGCTGCTATGAAGAAACTAGACGAGATCATTGTATTCTCCATCACCATGTACGGATGCGAGAGCTGGACTGTGAAGAAAGTGGATAAGAGGATAATCAACCCATCTGAGATTTGGTGCTGGAGAAGAGTGTTGTGAACACCCAAAAAGACAAACAGATGGGTCCTTGAACTAATTAAGCCAGAAATATCCCTAGAAGCCAGTATGATCCAATTGAGGCTGATGAACTTTGGCCACATCATCAGAAGGCGTGATTCACTGGAAAAGGCAATAATGCTAGAGAAGGTAGTGGGTAGCAGAAAGAGAGGAAGACCACACACCAGATCAGGAGTAGGCAACCTTTTTGAGCCGGGGGCCAGGTTGCTGTCCCTCAGACAATTGGGGGGCCAAAGCACCAAAAACAAACAAACAAACAAATAAATAAATATATATATATATTTAAAAAAATTAAAAAATATGCATGCACACTCTCTCAGCCCCAGAAAAGCCATGGCAAAACCCCTGTGGAGATTTTGCCAAGAAAACCTCAAGAACAAGTAATAACAACAATAATCAATATCATTATGGTGGGCGGCGGCGGCAGCGACAGGACCAGCCTGGGGCCGGTCCAAAGGCCTCAGGGGGCCGCATCTGGCCCCTGGGCCTTAGGTTGCCTACCCCGGCACCAGATGGATAGACTCAATTAGAGAGATCATAGGCATGAAATTACAGAAGCTGAGCAGAGCAGTGGAAGATCAGGGGTCTTGGAGATATCTTATCCACAGAGTTGCTATGGGTTGGGGACAACTTGAGGTCAGTTAACACACACACACACCACTACCACCACCACCACCATCATCCTCCTGTGGTCCAAACCAGAGACTCATGAAGGCACAGGGGTCTCTTCTAGTGACCCTTCTTTTCTTCCCCAGAGGGAATTCTGCTAACTCCACTGAAAGAGAAACAAGGATGGGAAGGCCCAAGATGAGTCTGGTTCTATCAGGCGAGGGTATGGGGCAGGAAGCTAAGGTCCCAGTCCTTGGAATGCCCACATTTTAAAACCAAATAGTATACAGGAAGAGTGAGGCAAGAGGCCATTAAGTCCAGAGGCTCATTCTCTAACAGCAGCATTTATTACACAGGCTGAACCTCCCTTACCCAGAATTCCAAAATCTGAAATACACCAAAAAACAAAATTTTTAATGGATGGCTGAGATAGTGACACCTTCACTTTCTTATGGTTCAGTGTACACAAACATTGTTCCATGCACAAAATTATTTTAAAATATTGTATAAAATTCCTTTCAGGCTATGTGTATAAGCGGTATATAAAACATAAATATCTTTTATGTTTAGTTTTGGGTCCCATCTCCAGGATATCTCATTATGTATGTATGTATATCCTAACACAGGTATTACAAAATCCAAAAAATCCAAAATCCAAAGCAATTGTGGCCCCAAGCATTTCAGTTAAGGGATATTGATTCTGTATGCCCATTGGCCCACTTGGAGGGATTATTATGGAAGTCTTTGCTACCCTTTCCATTTTAACCACTTGAATTAACTGAGCAAATATCAGCAAGATACAGCAGATATGAAATGTCTGACAAGTTTGTCTGTATGCTGTGGAAACCCTAAAGATCACTTCTAGTTGTTATGTGCCTTCAAGTTGACTCTTTTGCATACTCCATCCTAGACATTTTTGGCTAAGAGGGCCTTTACAGACTGCCAGAAATAATGCAGCTTCAGACCACTTTAATTGTCCTGGCTCAGTACTAGGGAATCATGAGAACTGTAGTTTTTTTCTGAGACATTGAGCCTTCTCTGTCAGAGAGCTCTGGTGCCACAATAAACTATAGTTCCCATGATTCCCTAGCATTGGGCCAGGACAGTTAAAGTGGTCTCAAGCTGCATTATTTCTGGCAGTCTGTAAAGGCCTTCATCAGTTACAGGTTGTATGCTGGACTTCTCTATATATTTTGCAAAATTTAAGTCCTTGAGGCCTGTGTACTGAAGTTGAAAATTGAAGATATATGTGTCTTGTTAGAGTAGAAAGTAGGATGTCCGTTAGAATAATATTAAAAGTGTAGGATTACCATCTAGTTCTAGTGATGAAGCCAACCTATCTTAAACAGAAAAGGAGAAAAATAATCTGAGATACAGTGTAAACAAATGACACAACCAAAAGATGCATGGCTAGGAAATGGTTACTAATATCTGATGGTTGATGAAATCAGATGCAATCACTTGATGACAAACCCAGGAAAGTTTGTGGAATATAAATACTAATTTATTGATAATTAATATGCTTAAGAAACACGTAAGGGAGATACAAGTGTTGATCTGACTATTAGATAAGTCTGCTCTTTGCAACCTTGAGAGGCCTGGGGATCAAAATGGTAAATTCCAAGGAAATTTCAAGAAACCTGGCTAGACAAAGACTGACAGGTACAAGGCAAATAACCTTCACTCTTCCACAAGATATAGGAGTGAAACCTGTGTTAGTTTATTCAAAGGAGATTTGCCATTGCCCCAGGTGAACTAGTAGCTTTCCATGGCTGAGCAGAGATGTGAATCCTGATCTCCCAGACTCCAAGTCCGATACTTAAACCATGCGGACTATGGTTTTATTTTTGTGCTACCAATGCATTCACACAGTGTGTACAACACAGATATTCTCAGTTTGTTTCAGTCTGTTGAATATTAATTCAGGATGGCAGCTTGTAGAAGGCATTCTATGACCAATCTACATTACATTTTGCAGGCAAAAATCTATGCTGAATTCAGTGTCATCATGCTTACAGAGTTTGAGAGGGGTGTAGCTAGGAAACCATCTAATCATATTGTTATAGATTACTGTGTAGAACCTGAAGACCTGAGTATATGAAGAAGAAACCAGGAGGACTGAGGCCTATCTTATATGTTCTAGATTGGGGTGATCAAAGTGCAGCCCTTCGAATGTTTTACAGAGGGGCAGGATATAGATACATTTTATTATTATTAGTATTAGTAATATTAGATGTTGCTAGGCTACAATTTCTACCATTTACAATGCTGGATGGGGCTGATGGGACTTGCAATCCAACAAAATTTGAAGATCATCCCATTCTGAATTCTTCCCATTCTCTCTTTGGAAATCAGATGAGTTGGGATCAGGTGTATATTTACAGCAGGGAGGGGCAAAATAAGGACACTGCCCCCTTCCAAATAAGAATTCTGCTCTCCTGAGTCCCAAGTGAAATTTCCCCTCAGTTTCCAAATTTTTCACATTGCGGTAAGTTAAAACTTTATTTGATCATTTTCAAATACAGTTTAGACATTCAAATAAAAAGGTCAAAGTTACCTAAGGAATGTGAGCATAGCATATATCAGAATTCTATGTGTGAATAATTGTCATTTTCTCATTCTCTGAAGTGCAAGAAATTTACAGACTGAATGAGGTTACACTCTGCCAGAAGTACGAACTGCATTTTGGGAGTTTTGTATTTTGCCCTAGCTGTGTAAATACTTTTTACAAGCTTACCAGTCAATTGGTACCATACCTGTAGGAAGAAGACAAAACTCAATAGTGCACACAATAGTTAGATCCGGTAGAGACTACTGTTAGGCACTATCAAGCACTATGTAAGGTTGTCTTTGAAAATGACTCAGAAACTTAAAATAGTGCTGCTGAGGCAGTAATCTTATAGCAATTCCATACCAGGCACTTAGTTACTACTGTGATTCCAGGCCTGATTCAAAGTGCTGTTTTTGATCTTTAAAGACCTGTTTACATAATTTGGGTCTGGATTATCATAATAACTGCTTTCTTTCCTTCTTATGAGCCAGCTCTTGCCTTGACATCAGCATCTACAGTCTTGTTTGCAGGTCCACTGGAGATCGGGACTGGGGACATGGCATTCTTAGTGTTGGTCCAACTCTATGAAAGATTCTCCTAAGGAGAAATAATTGCCCAGTTAGGATATTTAGGCTTGGCATTCAAATAGTTGGTCCAAACAGAGTTGGATAGTTAGTTTCCAATCAGAGATACATGGGTAGAGGAAGAAGAATTAGCAGTGGCAAAAACAAAAAACTAAGATCTCACTCCCTGGGGGTAGCTAAGAAACTCAAGTAAAGGGAGCTACTTGCTTTTTAGTAGGTACTACTATTATGCCTAGCCCAACGGCAGATGAAAAGCCCTCTCTTCCAGTGTTATTCACATCTTTATCAATGATTTGGATGAAGGAATAGGGGGCATGCTTCTCAAATTTGCAGATGACACCAAATTAGGAAGAATAGCTAATACCCCAGAAGACAGGATGAAAATTCAAAATGACCTTAGATTATAAAGCTGGGCCAAAGCTAACAAAATGAATTTCAACACAGAGAAATGTAAGGTACTGCACTTAAGACAAAAAAAATGAAATGCATAGATATAAGATGGGAGACACCTGGCTTAACAAGACTATGTGTGAAAGGGATCTAGGAGTCCTAATAGACCACAGGTTGAACATGAGTCAACAGTGTGATGCTACAGCTAAAAAGGCCATTGCAATTTTTGGCTGCATTAATAGAAATATAGTATCTAGATCAAGGGAAATAACAGTGCCATTGTATTCTGTGTTGGTCATGCCCCACCTGGAAGACTGTGTCCAGTTTTAGGCACCACAATTCAAAAAGGATGTTTAAAAACTGGAGTGTGTCCAAAGGAGGGTTTCTAAAATGGTGAAGGGTCTGGAAACCAAGCCCTATGAGGAACGACTTAAGGAGCTGGGTATGTTGAGGACATGTTGTTTTCTGCCTTGACTTTATACCTTGACTAAACT